GTCAGTAACCGATACGATAATGGGTTGCATGCTTGCACAGGAATCTGAGGATAAAGTGGAGAAGGTTATCTATTACCTGAGCAAGAAGATGCTAAAATATGAGACCCGTTATACTCCACTTGAGAAGATGTGTTTAGCCTTGGTATAGGCCACTAGGAAGTTGAGGCACCGCCTATTAGCTCACTCTATAATACTGGTTTCGAGATTAGATCCCATCAATATCTCTTCGAGAAACCAGCACTTACGGGTAGGCTAGCTCGTTGGTTGCTTCTTCTCTTCGAATTCGACTTAAAGTATGTAACGCGCAAGTCTGTCAAGGGGAGAGCAATAGTAGAGTTCTTGGCAGACCACCCAGTGGAAGGGGATGGAGAGGTTGAGTACCTATTCCCGGATGAGGCCATTCTGCAGGTTGAAGAAGAGATCTGGACTATGTACTTTGACAGAGCGTCAAATCAATATGGGTATGGGATAGGGGTGTTGCTGATAGCACCCGACAATTCCCACATATCCCTAGCCTTCAAACTCCAATTCAAAGTATCGAACAACGAAGAAGAGTATGTGGCATGTATCGCTGGCTTAGAAGCTGTCCTTGAACTAGGGGCAAAACGGTTGGATGTCATTGGGGACTCAAATCTTGTTATGTCTTAAGCAAACGGTGACTGGAAAGTTAAAGAAGAAAGAATGAAGATTTATCACTAGACCTTGGATGTTCTGATTCCTCGGTTTGAGAAGCTAACCTTCACCCATTTCTTGAGGGAGAACAACAGGTTTGCCGATTATTTAGCAACTCTATCATCAATGATAGACATCCCTTTGGGAGTCCGAATGTGTCCAATCATTATTGAACAGAGGTATGTGCCGGCCTACTAGCTGATTGCTGCAATAGAGGAGGTTCAAGATCAAAACCTTAGGTATCATGATATTTGGAACTTCTTAGAAAATGAGGTTTATCCACCAGGGGCAAATGCCAAAGATAAAAGGACAATTCGGCGAATGGCTGCTCAGTTCATCATCTGCGGAGGCAAATTGTACAAACGGGGCCATCTAGGAATGTACAAGCTGTGTGTTGATGCAGAAGAATCGAAGCACTTAATTGAGGCCATTCACAGAGGAGAGTGCGGATCGCACATGAGCGGAGTGATACTAGCTCAGAAAATTCTCAGGTAGGGTTATTACTGGTCAACCATGGAGGAGGATTGTATTGGCTTTGTTCGGCGATGCCACAAATGCCAAATCCATGCCAATCGCATGAACATCTCGCCATCCATGCTGTACAACATGACTTCTCCGTGGCCATTTTCAGTTTAAAGAATTGATGTTATTGGGGCAGTTACTCCGAAAGGGTCAAATGGGCATGAGTACATCCTGGTGGCGATAGACTACTTTACAAAGTGGGTTGAGGCCCAATCCTATGCAGTGCTAAAAGCATTGCATGTGGCTAAGTTCATCAGAAACAACATTATTTGTCGCTATGGAGTCCCCAATGAAATCATTTTGGACAATGGCTCTCGCTTCAAGAAGGAAGTGATCGACTTGTTAGAAAAATACAACGTGGCTTTTCGTAAGTCATCCACGTATCAGCCGCAAACCAACGGAGCTGTTAAGGCCGCCAACAGGAACATCAAACATATTCTACAGAAGATGGTGGAAACCTACAGAGACTGGCCAGATAAGCTATCATTTGCTCTTTAGGGCTACAGAACATCGATTCGCACTTCTACTGGGGCAACTCCGTATTTCTTGGTTTATGGGATGGAGGCTGTTCTTCCTATGATCGAGATTAAAGTACCATCGCTGCGAGTTATGGCTAAGTGCCAGATAACAGAAATGGATTGGCAGCAAAGCAGGTTTGAAGAACTCATGTTGTTTGATGAGAGAAGGCTGAAAGCACTGTACCACGTCCAAGGTTATCAACGTAGAATTGCAAGGGCTTTTAACAAGAAAGTTAAGTCCAGAAATCTGAAAGAATGGGATTTGGTGATCAAAGACAACCGAGCTCCCATCCATGGCCCTAGGGGCAAGTTCAAACCCAATTAGACTGGCCCTTACATTATCAAAGCAACTTGGTCGGGTGGAGCTGTCATTCTTATGGACCTAGATGGCCTAGAGTTCTCCCAACCAATCAACATGGACGAGTTGAAGAAATACTACCCTTGAGAGGCTTGCTAGGCCGAAAACCCGAAAGGGTGACCTAGGCAAACGTTAGAGCACAAAAAAAATTGAAATGAGAAAAATTAAGCTTGCAAGGTTGAAAACCCATAAAGGGCGACCTTGGCAAAAGTTAGAGCGCAAAATGAGAGTGTTAACACTCAAGTGAACCCGAACCGAACTACGTAAAGGCTTGATTTCCATCTTCGGGATACGTAGGCAACTTCATCCTGAAGTCCAGCCATAAACACTTCCAAATCAACTGTGTCCATGAGATTGTTCTGGTCATCTTTGTCTTTTTTGCATCCAGAGTTCGGTTGTGATCTTCATTATCAGAGCTGGTTACAATACAGTGCAGTGCTATTCAGACAAGGGGCAACTTTTCGTTTCTGGATTCGGGGACTGTAGACACCCCATTTTTGACCGTCCTCAAGACTTGGAAAATATTTAGGTGGCGACTCTGTATCTGGCAAAGCAGTCCATGTTTGGCACTACTTTTTCAAAAATCAGTTTCTCAAAACGATTTGCCAGATTTGGACTCTTTGGTTCAGATTAAGAACCGCGACAACAAAATCGAGTCCGAACTGTAGCACGAGGCCTCCCACGTGGGCGCTGTTACAGGGGACGTACGTCTCGAGGATAGATTGTGATCCTTATCGAAAATGGTTTTGAAAAGTTTTAACAAAGTTGATTTTGTTCAAATTAATCTTTTTACAACTTAGACCATTTTTGGACCAAAAGGATAATTTTCAGTACCCACAACCTTCAATTCATTGATTTCAATACAGAGTTCTCTACCTCTTGATACAAATTGAAGTTGCTTTTTATTACATTCAAAAGAAAACTTGAAAGTACATATTAAAGCAATAAACTCGCGGCATAGCTAAGTCAAGTGTTCCTGCGTCCCCTCCCAGAGCTTGTGGAAGCTTCGGATGCTAAAGTAGGTCCAGCTTGTGCCTCATCTTCAAGCCAAGCCGTACATTCGCCAGAAAGGGCGCAACTAAAATTGGGAGCGGGGGCCAGAAGTTCTCTTGTTCGCCAAGCAGTTGGGTACCGAGCTAGTAGTGAACCTCGGATGAAGTATGAAGCCGGGTACTCTATCCCTTCTTCTGGGCAAATTTGGTCATAACCAAACTGGCGCCTGAACCTGAATGGGAAATAGAAGACACAGTATGTCAAGCCAATCAACTGAATGCTTGGTTGTCGAGACATGATGTAGCTCATCTCGGGCAAATCAAACCAGGGATAGCGCCAAACAATGTCAATAGTAGACCTGTTGCACATCCACTGGCACCACCACCCCTCGTTCGGGAAATCAACTAGCCGTTGACGAAACAAATAGCTCCGTACTAAATATGTTGGGCAAGATTCCACTACTTTCAACCTGTCCATGAGCCATATCTGGGAAGGGATGAAAAATAAGAGAGATTAAGGAATAGAGAGGTGTATGTAGAGAGGAAAAGTGAGAAAAGGGCTTTGAGAGAAAAACAGAGCCTAAGTGCCGAGTGATGTAAGGAATACATGTAAGATGGGGTGGGAAACATTACCTGTAAGAGTAGTGGACTTCCTGCGAATCTATTCGTTTCCCGCCGGTGAAAGGCATCCAAACCTATCAAAGTTTCAGCTAATGTTAAGCCGATGCAGCTTTTTCCCTCTTTCAAACCTTTAGCCACTTCGATGAGTCGAATGCTAGATCCTCCGAAACCAGGGGCAAGAAGAAAATGAGCCAACACGCATAGACAGAGGGCATGTTGCCTAAAACTTTGCCAAAGACGGTCGCCGCGGTCACCGACATCAAAAAATCGATAAATAAGGCTCGGGATATTCAGCTCTCTATTGTGAATCAAGGATCGGGCATCGTGCAAGGTAATTCTGCACATTCTCCCTAGAGCTTGAATGTGGCCAAAATGAGACTGAGGCAAGATTTCCTCAGTGTGCCGGGATTCCATCAGAGCTTGGAATTCTTCAAATGTGGGGCATATCTCTTGTCCCCCGAAGTTAAAAACATGTGTGACTGGATTCCAACATCTAGCCGCGGTATGGAGGAACGAAAAACACAACGGTGTGCGACTCAACGGGAATAATGCATTTATCCTAAAACCTCAGAAATTCAGCTTTTCTGTGCCGTCTAAAGTTGCAATCCAGTCGGAGAGTTTTTCGATTAAGAATGGCTCCATTTGGGGCAAAAATAGAGCTGGAATGAAGAAACTACGAAGTTTGAGCTTTTGAAGAAGATAAGGCACTGAATGGAGGACAGGTGGCAGCAATCTGGAGATTCCCATGCATTACTGGTCGACCGGCCAGTTCAAGTAGCCGACCGGCCACCTTTACTGGTCAACCGACCACTTTACTGGCCAACAATGACCATAAGTGACCGACAGCCACTCCTTGTCTCCAGTAGAGAGCCTTTGGTCTCCCTGTGGGGTGAAGATGCTGAAAACTTGTGCTTTGTTCTACTCCAGATGCTTTCTGTCGCTTTGTTTTGCTTGTTTTGTTGAGATGCTCTCAAGTAGTTACAAGTTGTTTATCGAGTTGTTACATTGGTTTATCGAGTTGTTACATTTGTTTATCGAGTGGTTACATTTGTTTATCAAGTTGTTGCATTCGTTTATCGAGTTGTTGCATTCGTTTATCGAGTTGTTGCGTTAGTTGTTCATTGAGTTGTGTTACTTGGTGTTGTTGTGTTGGTTGGTTCATTACCTGATAAACGAATTGCCAATACATTGTACGATATTCAAATCCCATTAATCTCATTTTTATGCAAAATGCTGCAATGCGATGCTCATAATATAAAATGCAAGACTTTTTAATCAAAAAGTTATTTTCATTCCAATCATGGTTTCCTTTTTACAAAGAGTACAAGTTTTAAAGAAAATAAAACTGCCTAAGGCTGTACAATGTGCTAATACTACTAGCAAAAAAAAAAGAAAACTAAGTAAAAGAACATCTAAATCAGTGCCATCCATCTCAAGATTGAGAGGCCCTCTTCGTCCTCTTCCTTAGCTGGGCAGACTCTGAGCTATCGCCATCAATGCCACTATCTGAATCTAAGCCGGAGCCTGAACCAGAGCCGTCTCCGCTCCCATCCTCAGAGCCCTCCTCAGCATTGTCACCACCCTTAAAACCCAAGCCGGTGCCGTCACCTCCGTCCTCAAATAACTCTGACTGGCGACTCGCTGGCTGCTCATCCTCACTGGTTTCGTCCTCGTCCTCGTCATCGTGTATGACAGGCTCCCGACGCCTCCCTCGGCTGTGTGCCAGAATCTCTCTCTCTACTGCCGGAGAAGGCTCTGATGGTCCTGGCTATAGAGGTGTGACCTGAAAAGGCGGTTTGAATATATCAGCCAGAGTATGTGCATCAGATGCAAGTATGGTGCACAGAGTGAGTACATGCAGAAGTCAGATATAGTATATGAATGCAATGTGTCAGATGTGATCTACGGATGTGTTATATCAGTACAGTGCAGGAAAATGTTCAGTTAAGGATTTCAGTTTCAACATGTTGGCAGAAATATGATAATGGCAATGCACGAAAACTAAAAAATTACCTGAATACCGTGGGAGCTAAGCATCGTCTCTCTCCTCAAGATCATGCCCTCGAATGAGGCCATCAGCTCAAGTAACCCCTCGACATACTCTATGGATGGCTACAAATGCAAGTTGAAATTATCAGTGAATGAATGAATGTCTAGGTATCTGAGTAATAAATGAAAGCCGTAATACATACCGGTGGGGAGTCAGGTGTCCTGACATATCGGTGATCAGGCAACGGGGGCTCAAGTGGGATCTGATAAGGCACTCTGGAGTACCGCCAACCTGTCAACTCGGTCAGAATGTCTGGTCACCCAACACTATGCCTGGTGGAAGGCATCCCTCTAGCTCCGCTCCTTGGTGCCCGGGTTCTTCTCGTCAAAGGGGCATTTGCTGCTCGGGCACTGTTCGACGAAGGAATGTCAACCGCCCTTCTCACGAGAGCATGAGCGCTGTCAGCGGGGGCATGATATATGTCTGGAGATATGTCGTATAGTCCCCCTCCTCAATGAAGATGTTTGCATTTGCACTGCACATAAGGTCGGTGGTCTCTTGAGAGGAGAGACTCTCTGTGGTGCGCATAGAAGGCGGAGGCAATAAGGGGACTGACTAGAGGGGGAGGCCCAGTGTCTGGTGCATGAAGCGCTCGCCAAGAAACTAGGCTCGACCTACAGGTCCCTCGAACAGAATCCGATACCGGGAGGCACCCCAAGCCTCGGCAAAATGAAATCGAGCAAACCCTGGCATCGATGCCCAAGGCTGCCATGTGATCTGCAAATAGCAAGTGCATGAACTGATTAGTTGTCATTAGATATACAAAGTGAATTGAAGCTAAAAGCATAAAGAACTAAGAGTTCTGAATTACCTCAGTCACCTTCACAGTATTGAAATACTGACGAAGGTATGAGAGGGTCTCCCAGGTGTGGACGTCCCCGAACGCCCCGGGAGGATGAGTCCCGTTCTGTTCATTTGGGGTTACTACAGTTCGGACTCGACTTGTGTCACGGTTCTTAATCTGAACCAAAGAGTCCAAATCTGGCAAATCGTTTTGAGAAACAGATTTTTGAAAAAGTAGTGCCAAACATGGACTGCTTTGCCAGATACAGAGTATGGAAATGGGACTGAAATAACATATAAAGTGACCCCAAATCACCAAATCGATGCAAAGGTGTCATGCTACACATGCATATATTCAAGGCCAACAAGCCCAAATACAAAGGAGCTATTTAATGCATGCAAAGATCAACCCAAACGACTATGGACAGAGCTAAAACATGGCAAAATAAGCACATAATCTTCACAAGACTAAGCCTAAAACATGCTCCAACAAAGGCTAACAACCTAAGGCACATTAAGGCAAAAATAAGGCATTACATGGCAATTATGCTAAGCATGCATGGAGTTCCAAAACCAACCTAAGATCATGTTATATCATGGATATATAAGCATGAAAAACAAACCAAACATGCTCAACACACACTTAAGCATAGGCTTCCTTAAGAGGCCAAAATGTGTCCTTTTCAAGGACAACAAGGAGAGGGGGTGGCCCTCTCCTTCTTGGGACTTCAAAGCATCATCTTCACCACTGAAATCCCTCAAGATTTCAGTGGTGAAGAGACCCCAACACCAAAATCCCGGATAGCACAAAATGGCTCAAAATGAGGCCTTTCAAGGCCTAAGGGTGGTCAACAACCCTCAAACAACAAAACACTCTTAATAAACAATAAAGAGGGCCTAAAAAAAGAACTTTTTTATGTTATACAATAAGCACAAAAACAGCTCTAAGATAGGTATAAAATCAAAGCAAAAATGGAGAAAAAAAGGACTAGAATCTCACCTTTGAAGACCCCTTCACAAATGGTGCTCCAATGGCCTCCTTGAGCTTGAATCCAACACCAAAACTTCAAAAGAAACTCTTTAGAACCTCAACTCTAAGAGGAAGGTGAAACACTAGGTGTTTTTGTGCAATAGTAAGACACAAAACACCTAGTGAACAAAAGAGAGGGAAAGAGTGTATCTAACTCTAACCCTAGAAAAACCAGAGCTTGGTCTGTATTTTCCTCTCTCAAAAACTAAGTCTCTAAACCAAGCCTCTCCTTTTTGCCTTAGAGAGAGCTTCTCTCTATATTGTCTTGTAAAGCTTACAAGACAAGCTTTGCAAGAGGGAGATCCCTCCATACAGCGTGTATGGGGAGCAAAAGCAAGACAGCTGTCTAAAAATATCTGCAAAAGCAGATGAACAGCAATCGGCCGGCCAAAAATGCCATCTTGGCCAAAAAGAGTGCCGGTCGGCAACAAATAGTGCCGGCCGGCAAACTACATTGCCGGTGGCAGCAAACACCAACCGGTGGCCTCTAGCCACTGCCGGTGGTGGGTGGGGATGGTCTACAAGCCCTACCCTGCCTCTCAAAGGCAAGATGCAAGTGTTTGGTGCAAAACCAGACACTAAACGGTCGAGTTCGGAGATCCTGAGGCAAGGCACGCGAGCCAAGGCCTCCGGGAACTCCAAATGAACACAAACATGGATAATCACCGAGTGTTCAAACGGTGACGTCCAAGTCTTGAGGACGGTCAAAAATGGGGTGTCTACACCAGGCCTTCGGCTGGCACCGACCATCATATCGATGTGAATAGGGTACTTCGGGTGGTGTCTCAACCTCCGACTCGGGAGCTAACATTGGGAAATAGGCGTATATCCACAGCTATGGAAAGTAAAACAATGGCAGTGAGAATACAGAATATACAGAAAATGCAGAAAGCAAAGTGTGCAATACAATGTATAGAAAGTGCGAGTACAGATGCAGAGTTAAAACTATATGTGTACAGTGTGCAGTGTGCAGTGTACAGAAAATACAAAGCAGAAAGTATAGCAAAAACTGTAAAGCTGAAAAGTAAAGCATACCTTTCAGGCCCTCCAATAGCCGCCCACTCTCTCCCCGCTCTTGCGGGAGGTCGAGCTCATGTAGCAGTAAAGGGTAGCAAGGCCAACGCCGCCCCAATCATAGTGCCGAACCTGGGATAGGTCCATTAAAGCACTTAGAAGATATAGCCCAACTGTGTTCACCCAGTCGGTGAACAATGTAGTGCCAAAAAGGAACATCAAGAATCCCCGGGCGTACTACTCTATAGCCTCAATCGTCACGGACTCAGTCCCTCTGAAGTGGTTTGAGAACCAGGTATATCTGACCGTGTCTGATCAGAAGATGGGCGGGTGTGCTCCCAGCAGATAAGTCTAAGCGGCCTCCCACTCACCCATGACAGGGTCGTATGGAATCGACCGACCTCCCACCTCAAGGCCTGTTAGCATGGCGAAGTCGTACGGGGTCATCGTCATGTCCCCGGTGGCAGAGAAATGGAAGGAGTTGGTGGTGTCCCACCATCTCTCTACCAGTGCGCCCAAGAGGGTCCTGCTCGCCATGAGACACGAAAGCCCCATGCAAAATAAACCAAATCCTGCCTCATCAATGATCTGCCGAACGCCGTCGGGAAGGTCTATATACCACTCCCTAGCTCCAGTGGACCCGTATCTATAGATACCCCATTTTTGACCGTCCTCAAGACTTGGACGTCACCGCTTGAACACTCGGTGATCATCCATGTTCGTGTTTGTTTTGAGTTCCTAGAGGTCTTGGTTACGCGCCTTGCCTCAGGATCTCTCGACTTGCTTGTTTTGTGCTTGGTTTTACACCAAGGACTTGTTTGTTTTTGCACCTGAGGGTAGAGAGTAGCTTGCTAGCTACCCCTGATACCCACCGGCCATGGCTTGAGGCTACTAGCCATTAGTGAAATAGTCCATTGGCCGGTCAGCATTTTGTGTGGCCGACCGACCACTTGTTTGGCCGATGGCCTCCTTTTCTGGCTGGTACCACCTTTTTGCCTTTTTTAGGCGTGGTGCATGCCAGCTGTGCCAGCTGGAATGCACAAACCTTGCCCCCGTGCACATCTGTGGCTGTTTTGTCCTTTTTGCATCCTTTTGGTCTAGCTTCTTGAGGAAGCTTGGACCTTTGTCTTAGCTTCCTCAAGAAGCTTGGACCCTGCCTCAGCTTCCTCAAGAAGCCTTGGCCCCTTTGCCTTGGCTTCTTGAAAAAGTCTTGATCTTTTTAATTAGCTTCTCTTGGAAGCTTAGCATCTTTGATGGTCTATATAAGGAGACAATCCCTCTCCTTTGTTTTGGTTCAGCAAAATCAGACCTAGAATATATGTATTCTGATACATACATCTTCTCTCTCTATATCTCTCTCTCTCTCTCTTCATTTGTGTGTGTTTGAGGGCCTAAAAGGGTGATTTGTTCTTACTTTTCCACTGAGACACACACCATTACACCATACTTCGACTTTGGGAGGTGTTGAGGGTTTATTCTTGAGATTTGGAGCTGGTTTTGATCAGAAGAAGGTGGCTGGACTTGCTGTTCTTGAGGTGTTCTTCAAGGGTAACACTTTTGCTTTAGATTCCCCAATCTTGCACTAGCTTTTGACCTGCTTTGCATACTGGTTTGAGCTTCGTGTATAACTAAAAAAAGTCTTGTATTTGCATTCTTAAGATACTTCATTAAGGTCATTTTGTTGTTTGGGGTCGATCTCCCCCTCTTAGGCCTTGTTTGGCCTTTTTTGTACTCTCTTTGTTAAGTTTTGGAACCTCTTGTGTATTGGCCTTCTCACCACTGAAATCCAGTGGATTTTCAGTGGTGAAGAAGGGGTTTTGAAGTCTTGCATAGGGGAGGGACACCACTCTCCCTTGGTCTCTCTTTTGTTTGCATTTTTGTCCCATAAGGGTAGCATGTATGATTAGTTGTTCTTGGTTTCATTCCAAAGGTTTTTTGGGTGTTATTGGGTCATATTATACCTCTGTGTTTGGTCGGATTAGTGACCACTTCCATGCTTAATATACTTGCTTTGTATTCCCCATTTTGCCTAGAAGTGCATCTTGCATCTAGCCTACCATGCTCTCATATTTTGGCCTAACTTTGTGAAGTTCTTTGCCATGTTTTACCATGCTTGAGGTCTGTGGGGTGCTGTTTTGATCATATTTTCCATGCTTGGTATAGCCTCTTTGCATTTTGGCTTGTGATCCTTGAGGGTGTGAGTTATGAGCATGCTTTAGTTTGGTTGTTTCAATGATTTGGGGTCATTTTACATGTCGTCTCAGTCCCTAATCCATGCTTGCATGATTGCATTCATCATCCCTTTCATGCCTCGAAGAGTCGTCTTGTTGAGCCTTAAAATGAGCATTGTGTATGCTTATGTGTTTGAGGCTTTAGGTTGCCATGACATTGGGTTTTAGGGGTCCCTTTTGCATGCTAAAACTCTATTTTTCATTGAAAAATCCATGCCTTATTTGCTTGGGGCAGGCGTTGAGTAATGCCCTCATTTGAGGCCTTGAATGCTCCCTTTTTTTACATCTATTTCCTAGCATATTTCGGCATCATCCTTTGTATGTTTTTCAGAGTTTAACATGAGTGTTTGATGTCTTTGTTTGTCACCCTTAAGTGTCCTTGAGGGCTCCCCCTCCCATGCTTAGGTGATAGGCCTTGGTGTGTGCATGCTTGCATGCATAATTTGTGCCATTTTTGGCTCTTTTGGCCACTGTTTTGGGGTGTGGCTGAGGCCTCCCATTTCAGCCTAAGTCCATTCTTGTGTATAGTAGTATGTTTGATTTATTGCCTCTAGTTGCATGCTTGCAATATACCATGTTTGCATTACATGATAGGTTGCATTGCATTGCATCTCGCATGCTTAATACATTACATTTGCATGCATAGGTTACATTGCATTTGGCATGTTTTGTGTCTTAGTCATTTCGCACATTTGGGCCATGTTTGTATACATGCATTGCATTGCTTGGTTTGGGGTGTCAAACCAAGCATGAGGGGTGAGGTGTGTTCGTACTCAAAGTGATGAAACACGTCCCACTCCTCGATTGCCAATGCCCTTGATCTCAAGCATGATAGGGTGTAACGCACTCATCTCTTTTGTTGTATGCATTTTACATTGAATGGCAAGCTTGGCCTCTTAGGCCATCATGCATCAAAATGCATAATTGATGGCCCGAGGGTCGAGAGCCACGCTCCCTTGAGTCCATTACATGATAGGGAGTGCAGCCACACACACATTTGCTTGAAAATCCCATACCATACACTATCTGTCCTCTACTGCTGTCAAAACAGATTTTTGCAGGAACATTTGGCCAACCGACTACTTATTGTGCCGGCCGACCAAATACAATTAGCCGATAGTTAAACCAATGGTCGGTGACTATTCCCTTTGGCCGGTGATGTTCCCACTTGGTCGGTGATGTGCCTCCGTGTTCAGAGAAGCATCCTTAGGACTCGTGAAAATTTTCAGAGCAGCAAGGTAGTGTAAACAGAGGCAACAGTGGCATGGTACGGGTTTCCGGGCGAGACGAGTCAAGCATGCACCATTCGCGTATTCCGAGGCAGGGCTGCGGCCATATTCCTTCTATATTTAATTCGTTAATTAATTAGAAGTTCTGTAATAATTAATTTAGCAGTATTCATTTAGTTGTGTAATATTGTTTGGACCCTCCGAGCACGGGCAATTGTGTAATAAGTGTGTGTGAGTGTGTGTATGCCTTCCAACCCCACTTCTTTCTTCCTTTTTATTTACTAGCTTTCAATGGTTAGTATTAGGACATATTTAAATTAGCATCCTTATGCTATGCATGCGTGCATCATTCATCAGTATTGCATGCACCGAGCTCGGCTCATCATGCTAACCGCATAGTATTTCAATTTCAAACTTGAATACGTGCACCGAGTTTTTGCATTTCGCATGTCATTTTAGAATAACCGAGCCTATTGTATTCGCATTCCTACATGTGGTTGCATAAGGCATTTCTGTATAGTTAGGATCATGCATGGATTTCTAACATAACTTTTGTTTTGGCTTGGAGTACTCGGTAAGCTTTTATGCTTTAGCATCCTTGCATGCTTGTGAGTGTTGCCATGACAGCATGATTACCATGAGGCTATTTGCTTATGTGATATAACTGCTTGAATGCCTGTGGATGGAGGTTGAATTACCTGAATTGGAATAATGCATTAAAACCATGAGTTTTAAGCCCACTTGATAGTGGCAAAAACCATCTTTTTCTAAAGCCCACTTGAGGGTGGCAAAACCTGCATTTTAGCCTACTTACGAGTAGCAAACTGCTTTCAAAACAAACATGAAATGTTTTGTTCTAACTCAGGTGATTTAGTCTATACTTGTATGTTGTGCGCATCACATAGTAATTCTAGGCTAATAACCGGTATAAGAATGCATAATGTTTTCAAAACAAAGATATCATGGTTAGTAGAGGCCGGTCTTCGGATCGGGCGAGAGGGGGTGCTCATAGCTGACCTTTCCCAATCGTACCCAAGTTCCCGAGCCGAGGCAACTTTGGTGATGACGGACACGTGGCCTTAGGCAAACGAGTCAGGGTTTCCTAAATCCCCCCATAAAAAATATTTAGGTGGCGACTTTGTATTTGGCAAAGCAGTCTATGTTTGGCACTTCTTTTCTAAAAATCTGTTTTCCAAAACGATTTGCCGGATTTGGACTCTTTGGTTCAGATTAAGAACCATGACGATTTGAGTCCGAACTGTAGCCAACCCACAAATGAACAGAACGGGGGTCATCCTCCTGGGGCGTTTAGGGACGTCTACAGTATCCTTGGGTGAAACAGGAGATTACCTGTGTTCAGAATGAGCAGAGATGCAGTGTGTGAGGTGTGTTCAGAATGAGCAAAGATGTAGTATGTGAATGTGTTCAGAATGAGCAGAGATGCAGTGTGTGAGGTGTGTTCAGAAAAAGCAGAAATACAGTGTGTAAAATGTGTTCAGGATGAGCAGATAAAATGCAGTGCAAAGGTGTGAGTTGTACGAGAAATGTAAAGTACATTGTAGAAAATATAAGAGTGCAGTATGTACCTCAGGCACGTCATGGGACAAGTGAGACTCTGGCTCCCGTAGTAAAAGATCTGTAGGTGCGCGCCGTGCAAATCCAGTAAAGTGGCGAACTGTACTAGGTGCTAGTGCATGTGCCTCAGGATGATACCTCTCTGCATTGGAATGTACTCAGGCTCCTCCTCCATTCTCGGAGAACCCCCATCGTGTGGAGCATTGTCTGCATCTGAAAAGAGGTTGAAAAGTAGGCGAAAATGAGCAAAATGGACGAAAAGTGCCAAAAGTCAACTCTCGGGAAAAGAAAAAGTCAAAAAAGTCAAAGCCCGAGAAAAGGCGCCAAATTCAAGATAAACTTGGGGGAAACAAACCTCAAATGGTGAATGCGGAGAAAAAAGCTCCGAAAACAAATTTTGTTCGGTTCAAAACGAAGGAAACCGAAAGGTTTTAGCGAATCAACTTCGCGTGGGGCATTGGAAAACACGTGTAAAGCACGGATCTGAGAGGGAAAAGGGTTTAGAGTTGAAGAGCAAAGGTTTTCGGCCCTGTGGGTGTGAGAAAAAGTGTCTTGGGATTGTGTTTTTAAAGATCCTCATGTAAAAGGACCAAAGTGCCCTGAAACTGCCACAACTGGCCGATCGGCCACCTAGGTGGCCGACAGGTTCCTCAGGTGGATGACAATGCTCCAGGGTGGCCGACAGTGCTCCCGTGTTCTCCCTGTGTGTTTTCATGCTGTTTTGAGCCCTTGGCTCTCGAGAAAGTGCAAGAAAAGTTCACTTTTTAGCTCAAAATGTCTCCGTAGAAGTTTCAACTCATGTCCTCGATGCAAGACTCATCGTCAGCCAGCATGAACAAGGTGTATCCTTTTGAAACATATTATGACTCCTTCGAGAGGTAAATCAGAGGTTACAATTGAATTGGTCTCATTAAGGCGTATATTCCCTTATTTGATATTCTGCATCGAACATGCTATTGATGTTGTATTAAAAGTGCATTGTTGTTGTGCATGGAATGTGTGTGATGTGTTGCATTGCACTACACAAGTTCTTATGTTTGCATAGAGTATGCATGTCACGTCGTATTGCATTGCGCATGCTCTTACATTCGCGTAGGAATTATCCATACCTGTTGCATTGAGCATGCATTTGGTGTTGCATAAAAACATGCTCCATGTTTTGTTGCAATGAACATGCTCCATTTATTGCATGATATGCATGAAGCATGCCTCTCTAAGCATTGTGTTATAGTCATTCATCTTGCATAGAATATGCATGTCGCATTGTATTGAATTGTACATGCTTCTACACTCGCATAGTGCATGCATTTGCCATGTTTGCATAGTATATGCATCTCTCGCTCTTGTATAGAATATGCGCTTCTTATGTTTGCATTGAATATGCCTTAACATCGTTGCAATCTTGCGTAGAACATGCATTCTTGTACCTGTTAGGTTTCTTTCTTATGCAGGCACGATATTGTATGTACGGTTCATTCAAAGCTGGCGTGACCAGACGATATTGTATGTACGGTTCATTCAAAGCTGGTGCGATCAGACAAGATTGTATGTACGGTTCATTCAGAGGAGTTCCAGGTAAGATCATTCATGTCCCTCCCTGAGCCCCTCCTTGTTTTGGTTAGAAACATTCAGGTATGCCCGGTGTTTACACCACACCCCGTTGGTTAGAAGCGTTTGGACCGTGTGCCCGACGCTTATATCTCTTTTTGCTGGTTAAAAGCGTTTGGACTATGTGTCCGACGCTTATACCACTCCATTGGTTAGAAACATTGGGTCGTGTGCTCGATGTTTATACCCCTTTGGTTAGAAGCGTTTTGACCGTGTGCCCGACGCTTATACCTCTTTTGTCAGTTAGAAACGTTTGGACTGTGTGCTCGATGCTTATACCACCCTATTGGTTAGAAGCGTTTGGACCATATGCCCGACCTTTATACCTTTTTTGTCGGTTAGAAGCATTTGGACTGTGTGCTCGATGCTTATACCACCCCGTTGATTAGAAGTGTTTGGACCGTGTGCCCGACGCTTATACCTCTTTTGTTGGTTAGAAGCGTTTGGATTGTGTGCCCGATGCTTATACCACCCCGTTGGTTAGAAGCATTTGGACTGTGTGCCTGACGCTTATACCTCTTTTGTCGGTTAGAAGCATTTAGACTGTGTGCCCAACGCTTATACCACCCCGTTGGTTAGAAACATTGTGTCGTGTGCTCGACGTTTATATTGTTCTCTAGTTAGAAGCGTTTGGACTGCGTGCCCGACGCTTATACCTCTTTTGTTGGTTAGAAGTGTTTGGGTTGTGTGCCTGACGCTTATGCTACTCTTTCAGTTAGAAGCGTTTGGAATGTGTTTCGACGCTTATACCACTCCGCTTTGGTTAGAAACATTCGAACGTGCTCTGATGTTTATACCACCCTTCGGTGTTTGCACCACTCCCTTTTCCCTTTCGCACGCGCCGCGTTAGGATGCTTTGGTTAAATGCATCTGGATGGATTTCGATGCTTATACCGTTCCTAGCTTTGATTGCATAATATTTGGATGTGTTTCAATTGTTATTTTGTGTTCTCTGTGGCTTGGAACCTTAGGATGTGTCCTTAGATTCACACCACTTCTATCCTCGCGTGTGCTACTCATTGGGATCTTGTTTGCCGCCTCGGGTACGCCTGATGGTTGTTGCTCTTTGCCTTTTCCGCGTGATGCGTAGTTAAGATTGCATAATTTTCTTACATCATTTCTGCATAAAATGTGGTTTGGATCTTGTTTACTTGATTCGCATGAGTTTATTGTAGCGTTTCTTTGCATCGCATTTCCATCTAGATGTTTCGTTACAGCCCTCATTACATGATCATAAGTTATGTTCTTGCACTGTGCATATCATTTTCATTTTGCCCCAGCCTGCATGCGAATTTGTATTGTTACCTTGCTTGTTTGTCTAAGTGCTCAGCCTTGTCAAAAATGGGTCGTCTCTGGGCTTTGACATTCACTCCCATCATTTCATGACTTCCGAGTTCTGTCAAAGAGGGGCAACTATAGACACCCCATTTTTGACCAACCTCAAGACTTGGGCGTCATCGTTTGTGCACTCGATGATTGCGCATGTTTGTGATAGTTTTGAGTACCCGAAGTTCTCGGCGGAACGCCTTGTCTCTGGGCCTCTAAACTCTCTTGTTTTTGTGCTTATATTTGGGCCAAACCTTGGTGCCTATTGCCTGGGGGAGGAAGGGCCCTGTCGTCCACTTTTGACCATTGTCGGCCACTTTTTGCCCCTTGTAGGCCACTTAAGATGGCCGGTCAGCCACTTAAGGTGGCCGGTCGGCCACCCTAGGTGGCTGACGACCATTTGCCTCATTTTGCAGATATTTTGTGAGCCAATTGTGCCAGCTGTTAGTCACTGAATGCATCCTCCATCCTCCATACACGTGTAGGAAGGGATGGAAGCAAGCTTTTGGCTTGCATTCCTATATAAAGGGAAGTCCCTCTCCCTTTTTGGGGGTTGAGAATTTTGAAGAGCAAAATTTCCTCTCTCTCTCTCTCTCTTCCTAATTTGTCCCTAAAAGTGAGATTTCTCTACATATTTGCAAAGAAACTCTTAGCCAAATACTTTCACCTTGGAGCTGAGGTTCTTGGAGGTCCTATTTAAGCTCTCAAAGTTGGTTTTAGCTCAAAATCCTTGTTGTTTTGTTATTGTGCTTCAAGGGTAACAACTAAGCTCTTTTAAGTCCTGTTTTAATTCATTATTTGGCCACCTTTGTATGCTACTTTGAGGTTGATTTTGGCATCTAAAAACTCTTCTTTTTAGAGGTTTTAAATGGTGGTTTAAGCCTTGTTTGGTTAGGGGGTGGTTCCCTCCCTTTGCTCTTTTGCTTGTAAAGCCTTTTGAGCCATCTTTCAAAGCTTTTGAAACAACCTTTTCTTGGCCTTTAACCACTAAAGTCCAGGGGAATTTCAGTGGCAAAAAGTTTGTTTTGAGGTCCAAAATTGGAGGGGGTGGCTTCCCCACCTTGTCTCATGTTTGCATGCGTAGATGGCCTAATATTTTAGCGTGCTTTTCTACCTTTTTGTAGCTTAGTTCAAGCATGTTTTTGGCCTTGTTTTGACATTCTTTAACTCTAATTTTGGTTGGTTGGAACACTTCTTGTTTGATTTTTGTACTTGTAGTGCAATCATGCTTACTAGCCAAGCATACTTGATGATTTAGCCTATCATTCTATCTTATGTTAGCTCAACTCCGGCATGTTTTTGGCTTTGATTTAGCATGCTTTAACTCTATTTTGAGTGGTCTTGGTCATATGAGCCATGTTTTGTATAGCTATAGTGCAAATGGCTTTACTAGCTTTGTGTTTTAAGGCCTCTAGCATGCTTGGCTTGTGGTATTTGCATGGTATAGCATCATTTAGCATGTGATTTCAGTGCCTATACCCCTGTCACTCTCTCACATATTTCACTCTTTCATTGCTTTTGAGGGTTGTGTATTGTGCCTTGCTTACGAGCCAATATGTGTGCATGATTTTCTTGTCTTTTGTGCCTAGGTTTCAGCATGTCTAGGCCACTGATTTGGCATGTTTAAGCTCTGTCCGGAGTTGGTTTGGCCATTTAAGCTTTATATTGCATACCTCTAGTGTAGTACACTTCACTAGTTTAATGCTTTGGGCTTTTGAACATGCCTTGCATGCTTTGTTTGCATGATTTTAAGTCATTTAGCATGTCATTTCAGTGTTGAAATATGTGCCATTGCACTCCATTGTTTCACTCTTTCATTCGCTTTGAAAGTGGTCTTGAGCCCCTTGTTGGCTTGAGTGTGAATTTGAGGCTCTCATGCCTAATGGTTTTAATCCTCTCTTGAGGGTTTCTACTAACCAACAACATGAAGCCTCTTTCATGCTCAAGGCATTTGTGGCTTAGGCCCTCTTTCCAATTAGAGGACTTTCACTTTAGACTTAACCGGTTAAAGGACTAATCGGTAATCTAAAATGAGTAAATAAAATGAATCAAGTAAAACATGAACAAGATAAGCATATTTTGTTGCATTGCATGTGTTTGGATCGGACATTAATCCAAACACAAGAAATGTGGGACGTTTCATACTCGAAGTGATGGAACGTGTCGTATTTCTTGGTCGTCATCTCCCTTGATCATGCATGATAGGGTGGTGGCCATTTGAGTCTCTTGTGTGCATTCAATAAGCTTGTACAAGCTTAGTCCTTTGGCCACCATGCATTGAGATGCTTCGTTGGTGGCTCGAGAGCTAAGTGCTACACTCTTTTGAGCTTGAGAAATGATGAGGAGAGTGGCAGCACATACATTTCCTACAAAATACCTTGCTTTGCCTCTGTTGTTCTCTGTTGCAACAAAAACAGGAGTCTAGAAAAGTAGGTGGCCGACCGACCAGTGTGGGTGGCCGACAGCCATCTTTTATGGCCGACAGTCCACCAGTTGAAAGGTTGTCCAAAGTTGTTCCTGTGCTGGAGCAAAGGCAGTCTGGAGATTGGTACAGTTTTCATAAATCAAGGCGAATGCAAACAGAGGCAACCGATGGCAAGGCGATGGATTTCGGGAGGAAGCCAATCGAGCATGCATGTCTCCCTCGTCTGCGAGGCCATTTAATTGCTTTGCTTAGAATTGTAGCTAATTAATACATGTGTTGTAATTAATTAGTTTAATTTATTTGTAATATTTTAATTAGCTTAGCGTAGTTAGTTACTCGATTATGTTGTAATAATTAGTTAACTAGAGTAGTTAGTTAATTAATTTCATTGTGTTGTAATAATTAGCTTAGCTTAGTGTAGCTTAGCTTTTTTATTCGGACCCTCCTTCGCAAGGGCGCAATGTTGTAATGAGTGTGCGTGTGTGAATATCTTCCAACCCCACGTCTTTCTCCCTTTTACTTAACCGCTTTTAATGGTTAGATTAGGGCACGTTTTGATTAGCATACCTTATGCTCGCATGTGTGCATCATTCATTTGTCTTGCATATACCGAGGCTCAGCACATCATTCAAACTGCATTGTAATTTCAATACTTGTTTGAATACGTGTTTCAAAGCATGTTATCAAATTGAATCAAATCATATGCCATCTTAATAGCCGAGCCTATTAATTTCATTATTGCATGTGTTGCATTAGGCATCTTGTATAGTTAGGATCATGCATTTTTCTAGCTAGCTTTTTTTTTTGTTTTGGCTTGGAGTACTCAGTAAGCTTTTATGCTTTAGCATGCTTGCATGAGTGCGATTGCCATGATGCCATGATAGCATGCTTGCCATGAGGCTATTTGCTTAAATGCCAAACTGCATGAATGCCTGTGGATGAAGGCTTTGCTGCTTGAATTGGAATAAATCAACAAATGTGAGTTTTAAAGCCCACTTTGCGAAGTGGCAAATTATGTTTTAAAGTCCACCATGTGAGGTGGCAAATCCGCGTTTTCAAGCCCACTTGCGAGTGGCAAATTCAAACCATTTAGTCTATACTTGTATGTTGTGCATATCACATAATAAAGTTAACTAAATAATCAGAACAAGACACATAAGGTTTATAAAATCACATATCATGATTAGTAGAGGCTGATATTTGATCGGGTGAGCGGGGGTGCTCATTTCAGGACCTTCCCCTCTCATACCCAAGTTCCCGAGCTGATGCAACTTTGGTCATGACGGACACGTGGCCTTTGGCACGAGTCATGGTTTCCTAAATTTCTCCAAAATAAAATATTTAGGTGGCGACTCTGTAATCTGGCAAAGCAGTCCAGTTTTGGCATTATTTGATTTAAAATCGATTTTCCAAAATGATTTGTCAGATTGGACTCTTTGGTGTTTATCAGTCTCACATTGCACTTTGTGAGATTAGATTCAGAACCGTGACAGGAGTCCGAACTGTAGGACCAATTCGATGCTCTCTGAAAGGGGGGCGTGAAAAAGTTGAGCTACACCATGGCACATCTACTGATCTAAAATGGAAAGCTATGGAACTAGAACGCTCACCTCTCAATCCTATCAGAACCTGTGTTACAAGGACTCTTCTATTTCCCCCACAATACCCGTGTGCACCGGATGTGACATAGGTAAGGGTATGGGATATGCGTCCAGCACTCGTACCCAACTTATATACTTGGATCCTTTAATGTGTTACAATATATGAGAAGAAGAGACTTACATTTGCTAGTAAAGCAATATTTTTAACCTCTCACATTAATTAAATATAGAAATCCTATATTTTTTCCTGAATCCTATTCAATGTCAAGCATATTTCTATATAATTTACAACATTTCATCCGTGATTATTATATAATGTGTAATATATATGTGTATATGATTTATTCCCGTACCCATATCCAAGTGTGGATACGTTTCTCAAGATCCTAAAATTTAAATTTATGAAGGTCTGACGCTTGGATACGCATCCACACCCAATTCGTACCCGAGTCCATATAACATAGATCAGAACAATACACATCTGCAAGTCCGTTTCATCTTAAGTTTTATAAGATCAAACTGCCAATAACTGAAAAGAAGTAAACACAGTCAATGGGCAACCTCATAGATAAAAGGGGGACCAAACAATGATATAGAAATCAAATTATAATATAAAATGCATGTCCTAATTAAACGAACTTTCTAGAAGTAACGGCCAGTAGTATTGGAACTCACACTGTTATGGGAGTTGAATGTTCTGCCAAGGCTTTTGGTTACACATAGTAATCCACCATGATGGCGGGGAGGGGGGGTGATTCTGTTGATGCGGCCCCATGCAGCTCTGCCTGATTCTCACTTGACTCGCATACCTGATCTTATTTGTGGAGTGACCTAGAATCAACCACCGACATAAAACAATTCATCGATGGTCAAAACATGGACTAGATGTTTTACCACCAAAATAATATAAATAAATAAAAGGATCTATGAAGGTAAGATGCATTTCTTTCATTTGTAAACTCAAGATGTACTGAAAAATAACTGAACCTTTGATAACAAAAATTCAGATTTGCGGTCCTTTACACATTGATAAACATGTTTGTTCAATTATCAGAGGCCAATGCAGATAGGCAATTTTTTCAATAAAAGGGGTCTTGGACAAAACAAGACATGCATGGGGCAGATCCCAATTCAGTTCTTTCAAATAGAAAATTTCCAAAGAACAAATACGACATTGAAAAAATAAAATCAATTAAGTGTACCACACAAAAAATTAAATTAATCTTATATGCCAACAAAAGTACGCGAGGCAAGGGGGATAAATATATGTATATTCTTTTCCATATAGAAACTGCATCATCTTTTTGTTCAGTTCAGTTTCTCTTCTGCTTTACTTTGTATTCGCATTGCACCAACAGAAGCATTTGCACAGATAACAAAAACTAAACTTGGGGCATGGATGGTTAATGAATGAGAGACCAAGCTTCAGTCTTCAAGCAGCAATCAATGCATATATTTTCTTGCTTGCTTCAACACCCCCACTTAAGGGGAAAAACAAATCTAAGTTACCAACATTTTTGAATTATGGAGGACTTAAATCCAACCAAAATACTTCCTGTATGAAGTTTTAAACCAGTTGCAAATTAAACATACTAGTAAAATCGCAAAACACCAAATTGCAAATTAAGTCTATTTATATTAGAAGTGGTGCCATACAATAGTGTGTGCGCATGAGCATAATAGAACTGTAGGTTCAAAAATGGGATTTTTATTAATAAATCCTATTTAGAAGTGTTTTAACCTAAGAAGTTCATGAAGGAATTTTTTAACCCATTTAGTCCCATGTATGCATAGTTTTATTCCATAAAGTCTTTTTTCTTGATTTACACTATTTTCCTGGGCACTTATGCCCTTATATTTAATTTTGATACCCTTATAAATATTTTTTGAACGGTTAGCAATTTTATAATGTGAACATTCATATTTCAAAATTCACATTGGTAGGAACGTAAAATTGGCCCGTGGGTGGCCCGAAACCTGCCCGTGAGCCGGGGTGGGCCCGGTCCGTTGACAATGTGAATATTTACATTGACATGTTAACATTCACATTAATAGGAGTGTAAAAGTGGCCTGCGTCCCGTGACGGCGCGAAACCTGCCCACAGCCCATGGGCGGCCCGAGACGGGCCCGGTCCGGCCCGTTGACAATATGAATATTCACATTGATATGTTAACATTCACATTGATAAGAATATAAAATTGACCCGCGGCCCATGGCAGGTCCGGCCCGGCCTGTTGACAATGTGAATATTCACATTGACAAATTAACATTCACATTGATAAGAGTATAAAATTGGCCAGCGGCCCAGGGCGGGCTCGGCCCGGCCCGTTGACAATGTAAATATTCACATTGATATGTTAACATTCACATTGATAGGAGTATAAAATTAGCCCGCGCCTCGTGGCTGCCCGAAACCCGCCCACGGCCCATGGGCGGCCCTAGCGCGGGCTCGGCCCGGCCTGTTGACAATGTGAATATTCACATTGACATGTTAACATTCACATTAATAAGAGTATAAAATTGGCCAGCGGCCCAGGGCGGGCCTGACCCGGCCGGTTGACAATGTGAATATTCACATTGACATGTTAACATTTACATTGATAAGAGTGTAAAATTGGCCTGCAGCCCGTGGGCGGCACGAAGCCTGACCGCAGCCCGAGGCGGGCATGGCCCGACCCATGACAATGTGAATATTCACATTGACATGTTAACATTAACATTGATAGGAGTGTAAAATTTGCCCGCTGCCCGAAGCTTGCCCGCGGCCCAGGGTAGGCCCAGCCCGGCCCGTTGACAATGTAAATATTCACATTGACATGTTAAAATGCACATTGATAGGAATGTAGAATTGGCCCGCGGCTCGTGGGCTGCCCGAAGCCCGCCCACGGCCCGGGGCAGGGTCGTTTCGGTCCGAGCCCGAGCATGTCCGAGACCCTAGGTTAAGGCCTAGGTCATCACTTTGAAGCCCGGCCCATCAGCCAGCTTAAGGCCCATTCAAGGGTCAGTCTGAGACCCAGCCCACCCGAGGCGCAATGTATTTTTTTATGGAAAATAATAAAATTTTGGTAGAAAAAATTAAAAAGAATTAAAAAAAAATGGCCAAGCCCGTCCAAGCCCGACCTAAGCTCGAGGCTAGGCCCAGGCCCACCGGCCCGACCCGAGGCTCGATCCATCAGCCTGTCCAAAGCCTAAATACCCTTGTGCCAGGGCTACGACCTAGGCCTAATTTTTTGGCCCGTGGGCAGGCCCGACCCGGCCCGCGAAAAGCTCGATTGGGCCCAAGCTCGCGCCTAGTCCGAGACCCTAGGCTAGGGCCTGGGCCATCACTTTGAAGCCCGGCCTGGCCCATGGCCTGGTTAAGGCTCAATCAAGGCTCGGTCCGAGGCCCGGCCCGTGCCGAGGCCAAGTGTCTTTTTTTGTGGAAAATAATAAAATTTTGGTAGAAAAAATTAAAAAGAATTAAAAAAAAATGGCCAGGCCCGCCCCGAGCTGCCGACGGGCCGTGGGCGGGTTTCGGGCAGCCACGAGGCACAGGCTAATTTTACACTCTTATCAATGTGAATGTTAACATGTCAATATGAATATTCACATTGTCAACGGGCCGGGCCCGCCCCGGGCCGTGGGTGGGCTTTTGGCCACCCATGGGCCGCTAGCCAATTTTATACTCTTTATCAATGTGAATGTTAACATGTCAATGTGAATATTTACATTGTCAACGGGCCGGACCGGGCCCGCCCGGGCCGCCTATGGGCCGCGGGCAGGTTTCACGCCGCCACGGGGCGTGAGCCAATTTTACACTCCTATTAATTTGAATGTTAGTATGTCAATGTGAATATTCACATTGAAAATGGGCCGGGTCCGCCCCGGCCCGACTCGATTTTTTCTGGGCACCCACGAGGATCGACATAGGCCGGGCCCTACACATTGACGTTATGAACATTCACATTGACGGTGTGAACATTCACATTAAGGGTATTTTGGGTAATTATGTCATCCATAAGACTTATTGAAACATAAGAAAATAATGTGAACTAAATGGAACATAAGTAGATGAAAAGGGTATTTTGGTCTTCTTATCTCAAATAGGACCTAATGAAATAGTCAAAAAGAATATAGGTTGGATGGAATAAAACTCTTAGAAAGTGAATTTATCAAAAAAACTCCCTTCAAAAATTGTAAATTTTGAATGGTGAATTTTATAATTTTACCCTTATAGCTAGGGCAAATGAAAAATTTTCAGACAATCAAATAGCGGCTTTTGTTGAACAATTTTGAAAACAAAAAAAGCATCACACAACTTCAAAACAAAAAGTGCCCACACCAAACTGACCTATTTACTTTATAATATTGTATAGTGTACATATATATTGATTGGTATGTCAACACATGGTGGAGTTTGAGCTAGTCTGCAACCTTATCCTCGATCACATCTTTAGGAGGGAGGAAGTTCCATTTGAGCTAGAACTCACTGGAATTAATATATACACATGTAGATACATAAACACATATACTCTCCATAGTGTTATAGAAAAATAGAAAATATGGAATATAGTAATAGTGGCCAAACTAGACTAGTAGTATAATGTGCATATTGTAATAATTTTTAAGAAACACTACGCCAAAATCGGCGGTTTTTTACCGCCGTTAAAGGCTGTAAAACCGCCGTTAAAGCCTTTAACGGTGGTATTAACGGCGGTTTTGTTATCGCCGTTTATGCGCGTGTTGGAAAAAGTACAACCGTCGTAAAAAAGTAAATTACCGTCGTTAAAAGTCGACCAAAAACGGTGGTTTTTTACCGCCGTAAATAGGTTCAAATTTTTCAAAAAATAATTCTTTCTTCTTGCACTCCCCAAGTCCTGAACCCTCAACCTCTCATCCACCCACACTAACCACTCTACCATAGCCACTCTTCATGAAATATATTCCCTAAATAAATATTTAAACATTACTTTTACTTTATTGTAGATGGTTTCGCCGGAGCTCGAGTTTCGCCGGAGCTCCGCCGGCAAAGACCGCCGTCATTAACGGCGGTAATAATTGGGCATTAGCGGCGGTTTTTTTACCGCCGTTAAAAGTGGGATTAACGGCGGTAACAAAACCGCCGTTAATGATACCTTTAACGACGATTTTCGTTACCGCCGTTAAAAAAATCGCCGTTAATGCCCTGTTTTGGCGTAGTGAAACAGGCCAACACGTTCGTTTGAACTTTTGACAACATAAAAAGAAATATGGAACAAGAAAAACTCAACAAGATCTAAAGCTAATTAATTTTCAGGGCAAAATCCACTTTATCCACGTGGTATGGTCTGGTAGCACTTTACCCCATCTTTTTAAAAAAAAAAGGCAACATATACCATGTATGTGGTTTTTTGACTAAAGTACTACTCTTATATTTACCGTCTAAATAGATGAATATTGTGCTAGACACGCTTTTTTTCTTTCTTTTTTTTAATTGGCACCAGGTTTTCCAGATCAAAACCCGACTAATCCCCAAGGGTGCACAAGCCCTTGGCAAGGAGATTTCCGCAAGTGCATCACGGTTAATTTAATAATTTTTCCTCAGTCTGATGGCCTTAAGAAATTGTTAGCACCTAAGAGGTTTCAATCCCTAAATCTTGGAGGGAGCACACCCCCAAGACTCAAAGCCTTGCCACCAGACCAACCCCTTGAAGTTACTACACATGCTTATTTACAGAGTGGGAAAGAATTTTTCTTTTAGTAGAAGTCAAATGTCAATGTTTAAAAAATATTTACCTTTTTCTTCATCTTCTACCTTCAAACTCCAAACCAACCCTAGCCCACCTATCCCTCCCACCACCACCACCACCCTC